GCAATAATACATATGTTGGCAGTACTCCTCAATCCAGGCTAGGTGCCAGAAAGGGGAAGGAATTTCTTTTCTGTTTACTCCCAATGTGTTTTAAATTTCACTTTGATTTTTCAGATCCTGTAATACTCATATAAAGGCCTGGATCTCATTGCTTTCCCCCAATGGCATTGGAAATCCAGGCCTATTTTGTGTCTTAATGGTTAAATATAAATGAAAGAATAATGAATGGGATGGAAGCCTTTGAAATGTCATAAACACCTGGCCTCTAGCAAGCCCTCTTGGGCAGTTTAGCCTGTGGAACTCTTGACATGTTGAACTAAAGGGAGGTTATCTATTCTGTCTTTAGCCATATGTCATGAATACATTTGCTTTTAAATGAATTTATAAAATATTAATGTAATCCTACCAAACTGCAGAGTGGTGACTACATCCGTCAGAAGTTATATTATCCTATATATTTGTTTGTCTGCATCTATTAATAGACAGTACATGATGGCAGACATTTCTTTCTCGGTAGAAGCAGCAGAACTTGTTTAATGAAGTGATGTTTCTGTAATGTGTGGTAAGGTGGACTTCTGAGTGACAGAGCTATATGAATAACAATGAGGAGGCAGGCAGAACAATAAGAGGAGGACAAACATTTCGATAGCAGGGAAAATAGATGGAATTGTTTAGGTGGCATATAGTCTAATCTGATCTTTTCCTAAAGAAGATTAACAGTTTGTAAATGGGTGAGATAATGTTACCAATTTCTCCAACATCTTCTGCACAAGGAATCAAATTCTCTAAACACACAAATGGCACTCCAAATCAGGGTGCTCTTACTTTTCTGCACAGCAAGACAAAGGGTCATGGACCTTAAGTTCTCCAATATGAAAAGGGAAACTAGACACCTTCCCAGGCCCCTGCATAGAGCCTAATATAGAGAAGGCTTGTCATAAGTGTTTGTGGACTCTAATAGTGAATGTGTGCATTTATCACATACTGAATTAATGAGTTTATCAGTATGTGTTTCACAACTGGCACAGATGAAATAAAACTTATCTATGAGGACTATCTTTCCTCAAGGTCACATACTATTGAGTGCAGAAGAATAAAATTCTGAGAGCCTCAGGAGAGAGAGGGTATGTATAGGTGTGCATGCATATTGGATGGGATAACCTACGGGGGTTGAACCTAAGTGTTTTTATAAAATAGAAGAGCTCTTGAGAAAAACTTTTTTTCTTCCTAAACTTCTCTAGGATGTTAGCACCTCAAGAAGACAGACATTAGAAGATGGAGATGGCCTAGCTTGCTTAGATCTTCTTTGCAGAAGGCATGTCCATGTAATATTCTGTTGTCCATCTTCCCAGACACAGGGTTTCTCCAATACTTGGCATAGTAGGGCTAAAGTTCTGCTCCTCTTGGAACCACAGAATCCCTCTGCTATTTATATCTGTCTCCTCTGGCATATTAGAGAACCACTCTGGAACCTCAGGGCTACCTTAAAGACATCCTTACAACATTCTTCCACTGAGCTCTGTGGCTAGCATGGTGAAGTCTTTAGGAGTAGGGTTCACTACTACTAATGCAACTGTCTCTTCTTCATCAGAACAACCTTTACAATGCTTTTTTTTTTTTTGCAATACACTGTATACATACCTATAGTGAGATGAGTATGGGAAGTGGGAAGTCAAAGAAACTTTATGAACTCCCTTCTCTCAAAGAACTTTTTTTTACACATCTCAAAGATATTTTTTTACAGAAACAATTCAGACAATGAAATTAGGACTACTCTTAGATCCAAACAAGGCCCTTGCTCTGCGCCTGTACTTCATTGGGGGGCACTCCAGGCTTTCAAAGACTTATCTTGCTGTTTTCTGAGTCTGTCTCTAGTGCTAAACACTGGCCTGGAAGTCAGTGCCATAAGATCAAGTACCAAGTCCAGAGCAGGATCTGTTTACTCTACCCATCAGAGGTACCTTTCTTGAAAATTGTGAATTCCCCTTCCATGTCAGTGACTGATCAGAACTGACAGTGTACCTGAGTAGAGAGTCCCAGCTTCACTCTAGGCCCTGATGGGCCCCATTTCTATTCATCCCATTTGGGGTACTCTCCAATCCTCTACCCCATATATGGAATCAACTAGATACCTCTAGAAGTGTCAGGACGTATGCCTATGGAATCCTCCTAGAGTCTTCTTTTCAGGAGAATGGTCTGGCAAATAAATCACTCCAGTGGCTAAAGTTGTATGTTTTTGCAATATATCACCTGAGATTGTGCCATTAGAATGATGTTGCGGTTGATTTGGGATGAATAAATTTGTATACATATTTAAACCTCAAAAAAAACTGTTTGGGTACTGTCTTAGTTAGGGTTTCTATTTCTTAGTTAGGTCATGAAACACCATGACCAAAAAGCAAGTTAGGATGGAAAGGTTTATTTAGCTTACACTTCCACATTGCTGTACATCACTGAAGAAAATCAGGACAGGAACTCAAACAGAGCAGGATCATGGAGGCAGGAACTGATGCAGAAGCCATGGAGGGGTGCTGCTTACTGGCTTGCTTCCTTTGGCTTGCTCAGCCTACTTTCTTATAGAACCCAGAACCAGCAACCCAGGGATAACACCACCCACCATAGGCTGGGCCCTTCCCCACTGATCACTAAATGAGAAAATGCCTCACAGCTGGATCTCATGGAAGCATTTCCTCAACTGAGATTCCTTCCTCTGATGACTCTAGCTTGTGTCAAGTTGAGACACAAAACCAGCCAGTACAGGTATCATCATACTTCCTAGAGTCACACCTCTTTGTAAAACAAAAAAGCATTGTAAAGTAAAATAAAATCCAGTAACAAAAAGTTTGATCAGAGTTTAGACACAGAATTAAGAATGCACCAGAATAATCTACAAAGGACTCTTCTAGTATGTAAGACTTAAGCCTTGAAGCACAGGGAGAATTCAGAGGGCTTCAGACAATTCCAGCCAGGGAAAACAGCATGAACAAAGACACTCAGCATAGATGTTTGTTGAGCACTTCGTACTGTATGTTATGCTAACCACATTTCAGTCTTCATTCTATTTACTCCTCATAGCTCCCTGGATGGTAGCAGATATAAACCATACTGCAGCTGATAAAATGGAAGTTCCTATTGCTAAGCAAATGATAAAAAGGAGAACGTGTCTCCATGATCCCCAAAAGTGCCTATTGTTGTCACTATAATGTAAAAAGAAAGAAAAGGTACAAGGGACAACAAGAAGCCTTGTCAGAATGGAGCCAAAGATGTGTACTGGAAACCAATGGAGATGTGATCCTTAGACAAAGCAGAGGAATGCTATAAAAGATACTGAATGTCGCTAATTGGACTCCCAGAGATCCACCCTGGGCCTAGCTGTGGATCTCTGCATCCAGATCCCTCAGTAGTTGGATGGGGTTTCTAGCACGACAATTAGGGTGTTTGGCCATCCCATCACCAGAGTAGGTCAGTTCGGGCTGTATCTCGACCATGGCCAGCAGTCTGTTGTGGGGGTATCTTTGTGGATTTCTGTGGACCTGTCTAGCACTTTGCTTCTTCCTATTCTCATGTGGTCTTCATTTACCATGGTCTCCTATTCCTTGTTCTCCCTCTGTTGTTGATCCAGCTGGGATCTCCCGCTCCCCCAAGCTCTCTTTCCCTCGACCCTCGCCCTTCACTACCTCCACTCATGTCCAGGCTGTTCATGTAGATCTCATTCCATTTCTCTGTCATTGGGCGATCCCCATGTCTTTCTTGGGGTCCTGCTTTCCAGGTAGCCTCCCTGGTGATGTGAGTAGCAGTCCAGTCATCCTTGTTCCACATCTAGTATCCTCCTATGAGTGAGTACATACCATGTTTGTCTTTCTGAGTCTGGGTTACCTCACTCAGGATGATTTTTTTCTAGATCCATCCATTTGTCTGCAAACCTCATGATATCATTGTTTTTCTCTGCTGAGTAGTATTCCATTGTGTATATGTACCACATTTTGTTTATCCATTCTTCAGTTGAAGGGCATCTAGGTTGTTTCCATGTTCTGGCTGTTACAAACAATGCTGATATGAACATAGCTGAACAAGTGCTCTTGTGGTGTGGTTGAGCATTCCTTGGGTATATGCCCAAGAGTGGTATAGCTGGATCTTGGGGGAGATGGATTCCCAATTTTCTAAGAAAGCGCCATATTGACTTCCAAAGTGGTTGTACAAGCTTGCATTCCCACCAGCAGTGGAGGAGAGTTCCCCTAGCTCCACATCCTCTTTAGCGAGAATAAGGAGGGTTTATATGAGCGAGAATTGTTGAGACCAAGGTTGGATAAAGCACAGGGACAAATAGCCAAACAAATGGAAACACATGAACTATGAACCAATGGCTGAGGGGTCACCAACTGGATCAGGCCCTCTGAATGGGTGAGACAGTTGATTGGCTTGATCTGTTTGGGAGGCATCCAGGCAGTGGGACTGGGTCCTGTGCTCATTGCATGAGTTGGCTGTTTGAAACCTGGGGCCTATGTAGGATCACTTGGCTCGGCCTGGGAGGAGGGGAATGGACCTACCTGGACTCAGTCTACCAGGTTGATCTCAGTCCGCGGGGAAGGCTTTGCCCTGGAGGAGGTGGGAATGGGGGATGGACTGGGGGGAAGGTGAGGAGGGCGGGAGGGGGGGAGAACAAGGGAATCCGTGGCTGATATGTAGAACTGAATTGTATTGCAAAATAAAAATAAAAAAATTAAATAAAAAAAAAAGATACTGTCTTTTTTTGATAAAGTCATGTCAAACAGACATGACTAGTGACATAGTCTGGGATCAAACAAAACAATACTACATCATGAAAGAAGAGTGCACAGATATATATATGATAATTAAGACTAAAAATGTTAACTATGAAGAGGCATTTGTTTGTTTTGCCTTGTTTTACAAAGACTTTTTGATTTGATATTTATAACATTCTGCCTCCATTTGACCTTGCCTGCTATCATTTATTGCCCTTTTTTTGTCTTCTTTTTCAGACTTCGATCCTGCCCTTGGAATGATGACTGGAATACCGCCAATAACTCCAATGATGCCTGGTTTGGGAATAGTCCCTCCACCAATTCCTCCAGATATGCCTGTAGTAAAAGAGATCATACACTGCAAAAGCTGCACTCTCTTCCCTCCCAACCCAAGTACTAGCCTGCTTTTTGCTTTTGGTTGTTGTTGTTTTGTTTTGAATATTTAAGCCACAGTGTTTTAGAGTTTCTTCTTTTTTAAAAGAATTCCTAAGGGCTTCGTGGCTGTAGATACAGAAGCTTCCCCTAGACAAGAGAAATGGAAAGTTGTTCTCTTACTAGGAAAGGCTAAATGTTATGTACAGAACAGGGGATGTTTGTGTGCTGCTTGCAGTACAAGTGGTGCAATGTGCCTAATGCCATCTGACAGGGAATTCAAGTGTGTTAGTACAGAAGGAGGCACCCAACACAAATTGATCAACACTATCATTTATAGCTTTTTCTTTTTATAACTGATCCACATACTAGTGATGGCAGAAACTGAATATGGTCTGAGCCCACTTGAAGCCTTTGCCTGTGAGAATATGCATCTAGTGCTAGGCAGCCTCCATTGCTACAAGCTAGTCACACCACCATCACAGTCATTCCACTGACTGCTGTTCACCTTATATACTCCAATATACAGTGAGGTGAAATTCATTACCTTGGAAGGGCAAAGAGGAATGTTGAGACTAAGTCAGACTACTTGTATCCATGCAGTCATGCAATCCATATAAAAATGTTTAGAGGATCCAGCTTGCTGGTAAAGAATAGGCTTTTCTGTAGACTTACTTTAACATGTCTATAGTATTCAGGTGGCTGTTTCAGCTAAAATTTAATAGCACTAATCTAATTTTTTTCCAGATCCATATTTTAAATAATTAGAAACTATTCCTCCATGTGACCCAAGCCTTATTAATGTTTTTCCTAGAGCCTAGTAGTACTGCATGGCATGTCAACGAAGCTCCTGCTGTGGTGCTCAGATTAGAAATGTTGGTTTAAAAATCCATCTGGCTATTTAGACCATAGATCAAATGAACTTGCCTCATCAAGATAAATAGGAGCCTTTAACGTATGTCTTCAGACAAATATTTCATCCTCTACCATAAATAGGAATCAGTTCATCATGAATCAGATGCTGCCAGGGACCCAGATTCTATTTAGTGTGACTCGCTCATAACTGAGAGGGTTCTAGAGTCAGTCAGAGTTGGCTTGACAGGTCCTTTTGGCCACTTTTGCAAGTGAAAAATGATCTTAGTGCCTTCTGGGCTTTAACTGAGTTGTTAACAGGGTACATCTTTTCAGATCACTTAGAAACCTAGGAGGCCAGCATCTAAGAAGACTGTATTTAGAAGAGTATTTTGTTCTGAAGAGAATTAGGGAATAAAGAAGAAATTAATCTTTTATAGCACTCTCTTGACAACTCACATAGCCATTCCTGGATTTTGGTTTTATGCATAGCTGGAAAAACAATACCATTAATCCCTATCTCTTACTCTTAGTTCCACTGTCCCAACATACACCATGTCCCTATTCTGCCCTTTCTTCCAGCATTTTATGTTCAGATTAGAGAAAGATGAACATCCTCAATAATTCCTTTATCATGTAAAAACAACTCCCGAATGTAGGCATTGCCAATATTAAAACTGAAAAGGCAGAGTCCTGCTGATTTAATCATTCATGTATTATGTGAACAGCCTGTGCTAGACTTTCATTATTTTAGTAAAGTCTAAGCTAGCAGGCTGGCTCATAACCTGTATTGTCCAGGGTGGATGCAATAGATGTTCAGCTTAAAGATCCAGTTTCTAAGTCTCCAGAGAATAGCACAAGTATCCTGTTTTTGTTTTTCTTTTTTTTTTGACACATAGACTGCATTATTAAACAGTCTCTGAATGTCAAAACATGTCTTAAAGAGGTTGTAACTTCATATTCTATAGTAAAAAAAAAATAAGTAAATTTCTCAAACACATTTTTACCTTTCTCTTCCTGCAGCCATGGTTCCTCGGTTCTGATTTGGAAGGGCCACAGAGTAAGAAGGCAGCATTTACCCAACAGCCCAATCATTTCCTTCTTCATCTTTGTACTAAGGAAGGCTGACAGGGCAATTAATGCCAGTAAATGAGTGGCTTCTGGGAATGAATCTGCTTTAGAATTGAATTGAAAAATAACACTCCCATGAAGCTTAAATCAGACTGGTGTTTTATTTGCTTTTTAGAAATGGATTTTGTTTAAAGGGAGGTACTCAGATTAATTGTGTACAAAAAAGCACCTAGCTAAGGCATCTCTCTCTTAAATCTTTGCTGAAAGTGTGACAATTGTACCATTTTTATTAACAGTGAGAACTTGTTTTTATAAAAGTTAGACAGGAAAGCAGGCAGTTGATATGGCTTGAACCCCTTATCATCTCTAGGGCCAACCAAACCTAATTTATTATAAGGCCTTGATTAAAAGCCCCACTACTTACTCCTGCCCGTATCTAGTATATTCTCTTATATTCAGCGGCCTCTGACTCCAAAGCCTCTCTCAGCACTAATATCCTATTATTCAGAGATAATCTCAGTGTCTTTAGTCACCATTCAGAATGCTTCTAACTCTTGTTGCTTTATTAGAAAATAAAAATATTATTTCCTTCCCCTATCCCACCAGACTATCCTGCTAAGAGCTTGCCACATAAATAGAACTATAACATTATCCTAGGGCTCTGAATTCATAGTCTAACTTAGAGGTTTTTAATCTTCCTAATGCTGTGACCCTTTAATACAGTTCCTCATATTGTGGTGACCCCCAACCATAAAATTATTTTTGTTGCCGGGCGGTGGTGGCGCACGCCTTTAATCCCAGCACTCGGGAGGCAGAGCCAGGCGGATCTCTGTGAGTTCGAGGCCAGCCTGGTCTCCAAAGCGAGTTCCAGGAAAGGCACAAAGCTACACAGAGAAACCCTGTCTCGAAAAACCAAAAAAAAAAAATTATTTTTGTTGCTACTTCATAACTGTAATTTTGCTAATGTAGATGTAACGGTCTTGTTAAATAAAAAACACAGAGCCAAATGCAGAGTTAAAAGCCCAAGAGGTCAGAACAGTAGCTAAGAGCTGAGACTAAAACCGCCTTCTTACCACCCACTGCTGCTGCTGTCCTTCCCCTGAGAAAGAGCTACTTCCTGTGTGTCTGTCTTTTTATTGACTTTCTGTTCTGCCTTCTCATTGGTTATAAACCCAACCACATGATCTCCTCATCATTGCCTGTCTATACAGGCCTCCAGGTCTCTGTGGTTGGTATTGAGATTAAAGGCGTGTGCCTCCATGCTGGTGGTGTCCTTGAACACACAGAGATCTGTCTGTCATGTGATCGGGATTAAGGGCATGTGTTACCACTGCCGGACTTCTGCTATGGCTTGCTATTAGCTCTGACCCCCAGGCAACTTTATTTATTAACATACACATAAAATCACATTTCAGCACAAATAAAGTATCACCATATGCTACTGTTATGAATCATAATGTAAATATTTATGTTTTCTTATGCTCTTAGTTGACCCTTGTGAAAGGGTAGTTTGACACACAATGGGGTCTCAACCGAGACCCCAGTGGTGTAACTCCTGACCTCAGAAACCCCTCCCTGCTTTATTACTGCTTTCAGTCCATCTTTTCTACTTGCCACATACCTACCCTTTAGTCAGATTCAAGAACGCCCTGACCTCATACCCTTACCTCCAGCCCAGCTCCAAGTGTACTCTCTTCTGGAGTACTTTAGCATGGGAGGTACTGAAATTAAATCTGTAGTAAGTCCTTCTAATACATTTATATCTAGATACTAAATCCAATGGAAGCACTGGATTTTTGTTCCTTACTTTATCTTTCTGCTGTATTTAGTACTATTGACCCATTTATCCTTCTTGAAAGCTTAACTGCTTTGAAGGAATAAGAATGACTCAGACCAACCAAAGACAGAAATCAAAAATAAATATTAAAATGCAACATGATAAGGAACCCCAACATTTCAAAAAGTAAAAAAGAAAGAGGGGGCTAGGTACTATGGGTAACATGTTTGCCATGCAAGCCAGAGGACCTTAGTTTAGATCACCAGCACCACATAAAAGCTTGTGCATCTCTCCAGCACTGGGGAACAGAGGCAGGCAGATCCCAGAGGTTTGCTAGCCAACCAGTATAGTTAATTAAGGAGCTTCAGGTTCAGTGAGACCCCCTTATCCAAAAAAGGCAGATATTAATAGAGGAGCATCACCCTCTAAAGCACACTACCTGGTGTCTCAGTTTCTTTACCTGTAAACTAAGGATATTGGGTTACATTAGCTTAGATACCTCTAGCTTCACTCAGCTGTAAAACTATAGTTACTACATTTTAAAAACTACCACTATAAGTATTTCTCTAGGTAAAACTCCTCAAAACATACTAGAAAATCAAAAGAAGTTGCCTTGTAATACATGGAGCTTTTTACATTTGCTGGAGCAGGCAGAATACCTTAACAGTTAAGTACTTTGTCTCTGAAATAACACAGGCCTTGTTTCATAGCTCAGTTTTCCACCTCTTTTTAGCCATGAGATGTTAGTAAGTAACTGAACCTCTCTGATCAAGAGTAGGCAACATAAGACCTAATGTAAAACTTCAACAGAATTTACTAAAGGGGAGAAGACCAAGCACTGGACTCCTATTCCCAGGATTTGGAGTATAGCAAAAAGATAGCTGCCTACAGCACCCATGCTTTTTCCACAGGATAGCTATCAAAGAGTTCCTGCTTCTCAGTTGGTGGTTTTCTCCACTGAGAGAACAGAGCAATAGCATCTCTCAGAACGTCAGTTTCATCACGGTTTTTCCCTTCCACTGTAACACCTTCTGTACGGACAGGTTAGATTTTGAGTCTATTGGAAGGAACAGTGAATGAAGAATGAATGATGAAATGTCATCTGCTGCTTGTGTGCAGACACATGTGAAAACACCCAGGAACGAGAAAAAGCAATTTTTTTTTTCATTTTGCCATATCAAAAGAGACAGAACCCATTTTGCCTCTGAAAGCTGGACTCTATAAAGAGAATTAAAATAAATGAGTAAATTGGGCATTAATAACCATTTTCCAGCCTTCTGATTGTTTCCAATTAGCTGAGATTACATTAAAAATGTGTCTGACCTCTACTGATTGTCTGTAAGGCCTTCGCTCTTGGGCTGTCTAATAGAATCTACTCACAGACTTTGCATTATATACATTCTGACAAACCAACTCAGTATTCTCTGATGCTCCTCTGAAAAGCAGGATGTTACACAAATGGTTTTTGGTCCTTTGTTTTGCTCTCTGCCTCCCTTCTTAAAGACCAGCAATGGATTCTGATCCTAATACTGATAGTCTTAACACACTCCCCAGAGTGGATGCTTGGATGTAATTAGAATTGCTAGAAGCTCCTCCTTTTCCATTACCAAAGACTAGTTCTTTATTCTTCCAGTTATCTTGCATCTTTACATGAACTTTTCTTTGTCATGATACTGAGTGATGATTTAGGTACTACAGGGCCTAGCACATTGCCTAATGAATAGGTCGAGTTTAAATTTGTCCTCCTGTGGGATTCTTATTACTGTGTACTGATCACTGTATTTCAGTAAGATTAGAAAATCAGGCCTAGACAACAAAGCCATTGAACTGTTAATTAATGAAGACAGTCCAGCCCTTTCCCTGCTTACAGGCTTGTACTTAAGTCTCAGCAAATGCTATGAAAGAGGTCTTCTATATTACTTAAGGAAAACAGATGCATCCCTGGCATTCTTAACATTATTCTTAGTGGATTTTATGCTCCATTACTTAACGGAAGTCACCACAAAAGAATTACAATATCTGAAGAATGGTTTCATCACAAAATGTTAACTCCCACAAATGTAGTCAGGGGATGGACATTTCATTCTGGGTATTATAGGTAACTTCCAGAATAACAACATATTCCTTAGTCTGATAGTAGGCATAAACTAAATTCAAGTCATGTAACAAAGGTGATTTTTGCTTCATAAAAGCATTATTTACCATGCAGCTCCTTTAAAAGTAAGTTCCAAAAGCCTTTTTTATTCTAAAATAGGACATTATTTTAAAGCTTTTTGTTTGAAAACAACTCTATCTAAACAGATGGTCTTAAAAATTCATTACCTGTGTATACAGTGGCTTGGTTGTATTCTGTGGTCAAAGCTGCATGCATCTTCATGACCTCAAGCTCAGATTTATCCGGGTAAATCAAGGGGGTTTGTATTTCACAGGTCTGGGTCCTCACTAACACTGTACTCCAGACATATGGTAGAGTATTAAAAAGCACCAGATTGGGAATTAGGAGACCTGGGTTCTATAATAAATATTAACATTGTAATGACTACTATTTATTAGGAAGCTAAGAAGTGCTAGGGTTTGTACAACATCTAATATGGTCAATGTAGTATCAATAGTCATACAAAAAAAAGGTTTAAGATAGGGAATGGTATCCCTATTTAAAAAATTGAAAATGGGAGTTTTCATAGGTTGTGTGTAACTAACTTCTCCATGGTCACAGAGATACTGAGTAAGATTTAAATGCAGGTTTTCCAGTTCTAAGTTTATGATATCTTTATCTAATGTGATGTCTTTGAGATACTTCATTCAGCCAAGAATTTTCCTGTGTAATATCAGAAGTTCAGAATACTCAGTGACTTTCAGCCCTAACTACATACTAAGTCTGCCTGATAAGCTTAAAAAAAAAAAAAAGCACAGGCTATACCCTGAACTAATTAAATCGGACTTATTGATATGGGACCAGGCATTATGTGCTGAACTCCCAAGTTGATTCTTTCTTGCTACCAGAGTTAAGAATAACTGGAACTATGATGGCAACACTATTTTCCAGTTGTTAAAAATCCTAAGTCTAAAGCAATTTTCAACCCCTTTCTTACATTATTGCTAAATGACAGCATCACTTAGTAGTCGTAAGTAAGATAGTTCAGACTCCTGCCTACTCTAACATGTTCTCTTTCCCTGTAAACTTCTCATATGAAACACAAAAGGAAAAAATGAAACAGTGAGTTCTTAAAATTATAGACTTCAAAAGTTAGCAGTTTGTAAGTTCTCCCATTGTCCTCTTTATTAACTAAGTAAGGGAGGAGTGTCATCATGAAAACCTTGGTCTTCTCGGCCACCCCAATAAGACAGGCAACAGTAGCAAAGCGAGGTTAGTAGGGAAACTGCTAACCAAGGAAGCTCCCAAACTAACTCTTTGCCAGCTTGGACAAGACTCAGGTAGAAGCTCCGTCCTCGTCTGTGAATGAGACTCATTTATTTTCACAAGGGACCTGTAATCCCTGCTTGTTGAGCTTCCAAATCTTGAGCTGGGAGAATTGTTCAGAGCTGAATCAGAAGAATGGATTACACAAAATAAATCCTTGCAGACACAAACCAACACTAGGAAGAAAAAAAATGGCCAAGATGCTTTGTTTTGTTGGGCTTTGAACTGTAGGATTTCACTTTAAAAAATGCTTTGACACATATAAAGAGTAATAAGGAGCTGACAGATCGAACAAGCTTTATGTGTACAATGAGTGGAAAGCACTTTTTAAGCAGAGGGAGAATCATCTCATTAGGGATATTTTTAATGACTCTCTGTGGCAAGATTTATCTCACTTTAGTTAATGGTTTTCCCAGCAAGCTTAGAGTCTCTGCTGTCTTATGCCCCTTTAAAATGCTACAGGATTGGCTTTGGACCTCACTACTCCAGCAAGAAATTAGAGGAAGGGCTTATTTGTATTCATATTTTTAAATCCCTAAAAATATAAAAAGGGTTCTTTGTGCTCTAATTTCTTTAACCAAGCTCTTCTAACAGCTATAAATGCTTTTGTAAATATTTACCTTGTAATTGTCAAATTTGTCATGAACCACTTCTTTCAATAAACATAAATAGAATGTAGTAACTGCCAACTGAATTAAGCAGACTCTCTTATCAGGGACTTTAGGGCTTCTGAATGCAATTAGTTAAACTAAGTGAAATTTCCCCTCCTTACTATCCTTAATACAATTGACCAAAAAATTGACATTACAAGCTTATCACAGCAAAAGTAAGGAACACAACTAAAGCTCTCTAGATAGGACAGACAGAATGGGTCTTCATTCTATAGCAACCACAGTCACAAAAGTCATCAGATAAAATGTTTTTCAGGATCATGCAATAAATTTTCTGTGGAGCAGAGACAAGCACGGAGGCTACAGTTTTTTGAGGGGACAATAAGACCCCTGAAAAAAGTCAGGTTTCAAAGAGGTGTGTCCCAAGAAAGTATTTTTATTTCAGATTTTTTTGCCTTCAAATTTAGATCTCCCACCACCTGCAACACGAGAGAGACCACCAGGATGTAAGACAGTATTTGTGGGTGGCCTGCCTGAAAATGGGACAGAACAGATCATTGTGGAAGTATTCGAGCAGTGTGGAGAAATCATTGCTATCCGGAAGAGCAAAAAGAACTTCTGTCACATTCGCTTTGCTGAGGAGTATATGGTAGACAAAGCCCTCTATCTGTCTGGTAAGTTGATATGTGGGGATTGTGCTCACTGAGCACAATGCAGAGATCTGTGAGCACAGTATTTGGGTCATTAGCAGAAGTGTGTAAATGAAAAGGCACTCCCTCTGCCCTAAAAGATAGAAAAGGCATGTTACCTCGTCCCCAACCTTCCTCCTTAAAGCCATCAGAAGTTCTAAACTATCTGGAAGTAGCTAGACTTTACATGTGGCATTAAAGATGTGAATGATAGGCTCTGCCTCTCAGTGTCACATCCCAATTCTTCCTGTATACATATCCCAAATACACAGTAAATTTTAGGTCCTAGAATGTGCCACAATGTTTTATGTCTATCCCTCTACTGTAATTATTTTGTCTATGTATGCCAATCCAACAAACACACACACACGCACACGCACATGCACATCATGCACGCACACTCATACCCTAATGCTACAGCTCAGATATAAACTCTCTGGAAATCTTTCTCTAATTTATCTATTCAATATGTCCCAAGATGGTTAGGTACCCTTTCCTGAGTGCACCCATAGCACTTTATACTGTATTCTAACATGTCATCTATTACACCATTCTAGAACTCATGCTTCTACATCCATCTGATAAGGCACACTCACTACTAGTAATAATGATGGCTGACAGTAACAGTTACCATAGGGAAGGGAAAGATAGTAGAAAAGGGAGTGAAAGAGGGACGGAGAGAATATGAATATTTCTGAATCCTAGTGGGGATAACCAGAAAAGTAAAGGTAAATTGTATTTTACATTTATCAGTGGTGTGGTGTGTGTGTGTGTGTGCATGTGCACACGCATGGACATGTGTATGTGTCATGGCCTGCATTTTGAGGTCAAATAACAATTTACAGGAGTCAGTTCTCTCCTTCTATCACATGAGTTTCCAAGGATCAAACCCAGTTCCTTGGCAGCAAGTGCCTTTAACAAAGAGAAAGCATTTGCTAGTGAACTGTTGTGGTAGCTTGAATGAAATTGGCCCCCATAGGCTCATATATTTGAATACTTGGTCCCCAATTGGTGGAAATATTTGAGAAGGATTAGGAGGTGTGGCCTTATTGGAGGAGATGTGTAATTGGAGGCAGGCTTTGAAGTTTGAAAGCTCATGACCTCCTAGTTAGCTCTCCCTACCTCCTACTTATAGATAAGAATGTAAGCTTTTAGCTATTACTCCTGCCTGCCTGCTGCCATGCTCCACACCATGATGGTCATGGCCTCTAACCCTCTGAAACTGTAAGCCCCAATAAATTCTTCTATAAGTTTCATTGGTTGTCATGTCTTGTCATAGCAATAGAAAAGTAATTAAGACAACAGTGAAACAAAGAAACATATGAGCAAAATTACAAAAGTAGAAAAATTTGGCAAACATTCAAGAGACTATCGGTGGTGATTTGTATATTAAGCAGGCATGAGAGAGGGTTGGAAAACATCAGTTGTTAGCCTACATTGAAAGGTTTAGCAACTGCATTTTTACTCCACAGGTAATAGGGAGTAAGGAAGACAATTTTGAACAAGAAAAATGATTGTCTCCGAAAGATTAATCTGGCATTTCTGTGTAAAAGTGGATTAGAGGGAAGAAGCGAAAAGAAGAGAGGAGGTCAGTTTAAAGCCCGCTGCAATAGGCCAGGGAAAAGGTAGATAGAATTTGCAAAAGTAGGCCAGGAGCATGGGGGGAGGGGGAGGGGGTGTGAGATGCAGAATGCTCTTATTACAGTTGCTAAGTGCTACGGAGTCTAACTACTGAAGATTAGACAGCACTTAGCAACAATAACAAAGCAGTCCACAATAGACTATCTTAATAAGAATGTAAAGGTTTCCAAAGCCCTAAATAGTTAGACATAAAAGAAAGCATACTGTTTGGGAGGCACCCATCTGAACATGACTGAAATCTGTTCTCTGTTTACATTCACCTCCTACAAACATCCGCAGGGCTGCCAAACGGAAGGAGATGACTGGCAGTCAGTGTTGTGGAAATAACTAAATTTTGCCCTTTAAATTTGAGCATTCTCCTGGGGAAGGTCACAGGTGCCACAAATCTCTTGAATGAGATTCTTCTTTTGTTATAAATTACAAAAGAATGTGACGAAAAGAAACAAAACAATAAAAACCTATTCTAAAAGATGTTGCAGGAATGTAGGAAGAATCAGGTTTTTTGGAGTCTAGGCACCTTTAGGTCTACCTAACCCATAGCATCATAACATCTTTACTGGAGTTTATAGGGCTTGCATAGCCTCATCTCTTGTGTAATTCATTTGTGACTCCACTTTTCTAATGGCTTAAATGATTGGTAAAATGAATCGGTATGCAAGTACCCCACCAACCTGTAAAGGGTCTTAAGTTTGTTGATAAAACGTAGTTATTGTTCTAAAATAAATGTGTCACCCTTTGTGTTACTAGTCATTACCTATTATAACACTAATAGAAACATATAGGTATGATCATTGACACATAATTCCAAATATAATTGTGCAGTGTGTGATATATGATACAGATATGAAATCATCATCATGAAAAGAATTAACATGCCCTCCACTCCCTAAAGCTTCCTTTGTCCCTCTTTTGTAATTCCTTCGCCCCTCTTATTTCATTGTCAAGCAGTCACTTATCTGTTCTTTATCAGATTACTATGCATTTCTAGGAACTTCCTGTAAGTGGAATTATACATTATGTATGCTCTTCTTTCCCTTGCGGAGATTCAGATTTCCATTTGGTGTCATTTCCCCACTGCTTGAATTTCCTTTAACGTTTTTCATAGCCTAAGTCAGTTCTGATGACCCCTTTCAGAATTGCATGTTTCAGAAAGAAAGAGTCTTAGCATTCAGGAGACTAAGGGAGGAGAATGGTGAATTTCAGCCCCAGCCTAGGCTACATAACAAGAACCTGTCTTGAAAGGAAAAATGACTATTTTTGTTTGAGAAAGATATTTTTTATTGTATCTTTTGTTTTTACATTATACTTACATCATTTCCCCCTTTCTTTTCTCCAAACATCCCATATAACTTTCTTTGCTCTCAAATTCATGGCCTCTTTTTCATTAACTGTAGTTACATGCATATATGATTGTACAGATATTGTCTACATACAACCTGCTTAGTGTGTATAATGTTACTTGTATGTATGTTTTCAGGGCTGACCACTTCATATTGGATGACCAACTGGTGGAGATACACACTTTTTTATTCTTATAAATAATGCTCTTAAGCTTTGTTCTGAAATGAAAGTATGAGACTTGGGAAATCTTTATCCTTTTAAGCGTTGCTTTCTAAGTACTGTTCAGCAGGACCTAAGTAAGCCTAGGGCTAATTTTTCTTTGCTATTAAGGCAAAACCTTTCTGATTACCCAGTGCTCTGTTATGTATGAGTTTTTGTCCTCTGTCTGGTGGTAAAAGGAGCTATTTCCAGAACTGTGAGAGCTCCAGAGATTGCAACTTCTAATGTTCAGATGGTTTCCACTTACCTGTATACACATCAGTATCCCGATAAATTATTGTGACAGTCTCTGAAGATCTCTTCTACAGATCTCTTAAATTCTTTCCCTGTGCAAACTTCTTCCTTTTGATACTCTGCATTATGAACTCTGTTTACCATAGTGTTCACAGAATCCCAGGGAAGAACAGCAGGCTGAATCTGAACTTCCCATTCTGCACTGAGGCCTGGAAACCTCTGCACTGTAGCCTAGGGCAATCATAGGGAACATCTCATGTGATAGTCTCCCACTGCTCACTGCCTTCATGGTCCAGTATCTTAAACACTGTTGTTTCATATGTTTACTTTTTTTTTCCAAGACAGGGTTTCTCTGTGTATCCCTGGCTGTCTTGGAACTTGCTCTGTAGATCAGGCTGGCTTGAATTCAGAGATCTCCCTGCCTTAGCCTCCCAAGTACTGGGATTAAAGGCATGTTCCGCTGCTACCACAGGCATGTGTTTATTTTTTAAGGAGGGAGATAAGTGTGACATCCCCCCATTGCTTATCAAGGAACAAAGTCTATATTGGGCATTGCTCAGCAGAATAGAAGAAAGCTCAATAACTCTGTAAATCTAACATCCTAGATTCAAGTTCTAACTCTGCCAGTTGTACTCCACCCCCACCCCTACCCCCCAGGACCAGCTGCTTAACCTGTCTACCTTCTCTGGTGCTTATCTTTCTCTTTGGTAAAATGTTTGCCATATAGTTTGCTAAGAATGAAATGAGATGGATGTACATATAAGTATCTGTCTGACCTCCCGAAACACAAAATGTACTAAATATCTTAATGGGTTGTCAAGAAACTTTGCTTAGGTGATATAACTGGCACAAAAAGTAGAAGTAGGAAGTAGGTCCTGATTTTCTAAATCCAAGTTCTCTATAACTGTTCTAATTACATCAACATTTTTTAGTATCCCAAACTATGTACCACTACATTATATACCAACCCCCATCTATTTCATTTCTCTCCCAGAGAGGAAAGTAGTCCAGAGTCCCCAATTACATCCAGGAAACAATTTTTAAAATTTAAATTACAAGCTAATGAATTTCCATTTCACTAAAATTCTATGGGATGATATAACTTACATTTGTGAAGTTATCTAAGAGCACTATAGTTGAGAAATGCCATTTCTATTTTTCCCAGCCCTTGGTACACTATAAGGCTCATCTTTTCCTTGATGTTGTTTTGTTTTATCTTACTCTTGCATTTATATGCAAATGTATGATGTGTGTGTATGTATGCATGAGCACATTTGTGTGTGTGAAGGGGAGCATGTGTGTCAGCCCTTGTCCTCCACCTCATTTGAGACAGGATCTCTTGTTCACAGCTGTGATGCCATGGTAGCTAGCAATTGAGCTCCTGAGGATCCCCAACCCCATCTCCATCTCCCATCTCACCATAAGAGCATTTGGATTACAGATATTTGCTACCATGCCTGACTTTTTATGGGGATTCTGGGATTTGGGGGATTTGAACTCAGTTCTTCAGTTATACAGCAAGTGCTTTACTTACTGAGCCATATCCCTGAGCGCCAATGCTCACTCTTGATGTCATGTCAGATGGCAAAGTAGAGAGAAGGTTTCCTAAAATCATGATCATCCAAACCCATAGAATAGAAAACTGTTATGAAAGATGTGTTCTGCATAGTCTGGAGAATGATCTGTGATAGCCATACTTTCTGTTTTTCATGAATAAGTTTATTAAGTATATGATAAGCCAAAGAAAAGAGGAAAAAGAACAAAATACCATCAAATTTAGTACTCGAAATACCCAAAAGAAATCCACTGGGAAAGCTCCATTGAGTCCCAGGCAGAGCAGACTGTCCTCTTAGATAAGGACCCCAAGTAAAAGAACAACAGCACTAAGGTAACATGCTAAAAATGGAGACTTACAAACATCAGCAGAGACGGACTAGGGAAAGCCTCTGAGGCAGCCAGCTAAAGTTCCCAAACAAGACTCCTGGACAGAACAGAATATTTCCTTGAGTGAGGCTTCCAAGTTTAAAAAAAAAAAAAGCAACAGAAAGAGATAGCATCATCAAAGTGGGCCCTCAGAGCATCCATCAGAAACCAACTGGGGAAGTTGAGCCAGTCAGCTGGAGTTCCCAGTTGAGCTTTGTCTCCATGGGTGAATCTGTGGCTGAACTTCTGGATCCTCTTTCCCACTGTAGGTACTTTTATATGTTGGCATAAATAAGAGTAACATCAGTTGGAAATGATTTAATCTAGTTGCTCTGAGGGGTACAGTGCTTTTTACTCTTGGACTGTTTGGCAGTTCTTTTCCTGTCCCTGTCACAGAGTGGAAGTGGGCTGCCTAGCCCCAGACAACAGGCTTTGGAGGACACTTTGAGACACATAGAATTGGGTCTGAAATGGGGGAAGGAGAAGCAACTCCATTTCCAGTTCTGTCTTCTCAGTAAGTTCAATAGACACATGATAACTTACCAGTACAGTGTACCTTACAAAATGAGATTGGAATCTACGTCCTTGGATGATTCACCTTGATAGCACTGAGAGAAAATTTGGTATTGTGTGATCACTTAAAACTACTCAAGCCATCTCTAAGACACTGAACTTAGAAAAGTACATATAGTTGTTGGCTAACTAGTCTCTTCTCCCTTCCCCTGTTCTCCTTTAATTTAGGTTACCGAATTCGCCTGGGCTCTAGTACTGACAAGAAGGACACAGGCCGGCTCCATGTTGACTTTGCCCAGGCTCGGGATGACTTGTATGAGTGGGAGTGTAAACAGCGTATGCTAGCAAGAGAGGAGCGGCACCGTAGACGGATGGAGGAGGAAAGACTGCGTCCACCATCCCCACCCCCAGTGGTCCACTATTCAGATCATGAATGCAGCATTGTTGCTGAGAAACTAAAAGGTATAGAAGGCATTCAAGCTCCATGATTGAATGAACTTTTTTCTTGGGGAATTGTGATAAATATCATTGTGCTGTTCGGAGTTACCCTTTCAATTTCTGGCTAATAGATCCTAGCATTTCTTGTGTTGGAGGCTTGCTGATAATACTAAGTAACTCTAGAAACAGGAAATTTGGCCATCCCACATGTGTCTCTGTTCCTTCATTGTCTCAAAGGTTGGCATTTTTCTATCCAGACATAAGATAACTAAGAAGAAATATTTTCCCACTTACCACACTAGAAAGTTTGAGGTGTGATTCATGGTTTAGGGCCTACATGTGCCCCCTTTCTTTGTGGGCACTAGTGAGATTTGAATTTTCAATCAGTGAGTACATCAACATGATAGAACTGGATATGACCCTGTGAAATTCCAGTGAAGTCCTCATTTTAAAGATGTCAAAATGAGCTGCTGTATTGGGCATGCTTATAATGGCAGGAGGATCACCAAGAATTGCAGGTCAGCCTGGGTTATAGAGCGAACTCCTATCTCAAAATAAATAGACAAAAAAAAAAAAAAAACAAGATGGCAAAATGGAGGCCCAGAAATTAGTCACCATGTGTATTGATTACCCTGAAGACTTAGCTACTACCCAAGAAAAGAAGTCTTTGTTGTTGTTAAAGGCCAAGTTATTCCACAAAGCATCTATGGAGACTTCTAAATATTGGTAAGCCAAACTCCTTTTTCTTTAGTTTTGATCCTGTTCTTGCTTGATTCTTAGAGCCACTTAGCTAATTTGACATTAATCACCTTGCCTGTTCTCTTGTCTTAGTAACTCAAATCCAGTCTCTCATTTTCTGAGTACAGTTGATTTTATTGAATGAATGCTGTTGTCCCATTGATCTTACTGATGACACTGACCCAGCTCTAATGGTATGAATTTGCCCTGCTTCTGTGCTTTCATTTCAGCAAGATCCTGCTAATTCTACTTTCTAAATAAATAGGTCGCACTTGCCAAACTTGTTTACATCACATTTAAGAAATTTCTTTGGATTGATTGTGACTTTCTGCAAGGGAAAAACAGAAAGCATAGCATCCCGAACTGAACAGAAATAATGGCACATTTTGAAACACTAGAGAAGCTTTCCACAATGGTGAGATGCCTGTTCCAAGACTTGTCTATTCACATGACACCAAACAAGACATTTTACATTAAAAAAAAAAGAATTTGCTGGTTGCACAGCCCTCAAGAGAAGCACAAGCAGCATCGACATAAAAGACTGTATCCAAGTAATGAAATGAAAAGCTGCTACATGGGGAAGACTCATCTACCATTGTGTCCGCACTGAAAAATAAGGGCAGGGGGCAAGAAAATAAAATTGCAGAGCAAGGTGTTTCTACTTGACTAAGAGCTTTTAGCCAGAGAGGGATGTGAAGCTCTAGAATGTGGCTTCAATGGGATGCCATTAGAGTCTTTCTCACAAGTCCATCAGAACAGAATATATAAGTAGCTAGCTGGGGAAGGAGGCCTGGAAGGTATGGAAGAGCTGTGCTACTCTATTAACATTACAGGATGGCCCCTGGTGAACTGCAGAAATCTACTAGAAGGCAAGAGAAAAAGGATATGAGGACACATGGAAATAAAAGGGTCAAAATAGATCATGACTGGGACTGAGTGGAAGGATGAGGAGCTCTGAGTTGGATTCCAGAGAGCTATTACAAAAGGTTGAAGATACAAATGCTTGTATATAAAGAACTACACATTGGACTCTTTCCTCAGGCCTTTCCATAACTAGAATAACATGTATCCAGGGTAAAGGTACTGACATATCCAACTTACATGCAATATTTTCACTGACTTTTCCTTATTAAAATGCGAGATTATGGAATTGTGAAATTCCCTCATTGTTAATTTTCCCCTCTCTGTGGGTGTGTGTGTGCAGGCCTGCATGCATGCTTGTGTGTCTGTCTGTCTCTGTCTCTTCCTTTCCCTCTCTCTCTCAAATAATCAGATAAATTAGGAAATTCTCAATACATGGAAACTATCATAGTATAGACATGTTTTTGTTTGAGAGAGGGAGTGTGTGTGTGTGTGTGTGTGTGTGTGTGTGTATGTGTATGTGTGTATGTGTGTGTGTCTGTGTGTGTGTTTCCTGGGGATGTAAACTAGGACCTCTCACACACTAAGTTACAACCCCAGAAATTTTAGGAAGGAAAGAAACCATCCTCTTTCTGAAACTCTTCATAAGCCATAACCAGTCTACCTGTGTGTGCATGTGTGTACATGTGAGGTCCTTACCTTCATTAATTCATACAACTATAACTGCCAAAATCCCTGATGACCTCTTTGCCAGCATCTTGGGAAAATCGAATGAGATTTTTGTCACTGCAGCAGTTTTCAAAACAGATGCCTTTGTTTCAGATGATTCCAAATTCTCGGAAGCTGTGCAGACCTTGCTCACCTGGATAGAGAGAGGAGAAGTGAACCGCCGCAGTGCCAACCACTTCTACTCCATGATCCAGTCAGCCAACAGCCATGTCCGCCGCCTGCTGAACGAGAAAGCTGCCCATGAGAAAGAGATGGAAGAAGCAAAAGAGAAGTTCAAGCAGGCCCTTTCTGGAATTCTTATTCAGTGTAAGTGGAAGTTAAAGTTCTGCTGAACAGCTGAGAGACCCCATCACTTCATCACCACTTTCCCTACACAGGATCCGAGGCCTGCAAAACTATGTATTTCAAGTGGCTAGATAACCTTCCTAGCTGCTTTGGGCTCTCCTTATATCAGTGGTTCTCAACCTTCCCAGTGCTGCGACCCTTTAATCCAGTTCCTCATGTTGTGGTGACCTCCAACCATAAAATTATTTTTGTTGCTACTTCATAACTGTAATTTTGCTACTGTTGTGAATTGTAATGTAAATATCTGATAGGCGAGATATCTGATATATGACCCCTGTGAAAGAGTCATTTGATCCCCCAGAAGAGTCACGACCCACATGTTGAAAACCACTACCTTGTATTGTCAAATGCCAAAGCCCTATTTCCCAGGATACATGAGAAGACCCTGTTTCTATATTCTCTGGTTTAGCTTCTTCAGCTCTGCAGAAGCACTGGGATGTAGGTAGGCAGTGACTCATCCTTTTACAACCCTGGTCCTCGGTAGGGGATTAGATATTTTATTGCTGAAGTTAGAATATGATGTTAGGATTTTATGGCTGCGTGTCTTCAGATTTACACGATTATCATCACGTAATATGCTGTTTAGGAACTTGTGGTAGTAAATAGTATTATATTTTCCCAAGATGATTGCATAAAAAAATAAATTTGCTACTTCTACATTTTCAATTTAGTTTTCTTCCATTATCTTTACTAGTTATGATAGACACCATAGAGGTGAGAAGCCATTGAAATGGCCATTTTTAGTTATACCACTTCAGATCTATCTAAATTCTGTTAAATGAGGTAGATCAGATAAACTCTCAAGTAAATTTTTTGTTCACCATGTAACAAAATTATATGATCACATCTTTTCAATAAGGAGCTATATTCACCTTAAGAATTGGGGCAGTTTTATGATTTTGCTTTTAAGCAGTTATGGTCCACTCTTCCTGTACTTTTCTCTCCATACTTGACTCAGACATAATTGGAAGTAAGGAGTTCCTCCACTTTCGCTCGTACTTTGGAAGTATATATAGACATAAAATCCAAGAGGGGAAAGCACATATCTTCAGGACTTCAGAATAAGTGGAAAAAGAAAGCAGCAAGAATTGTGGGAATCCTGAAATCATTAGAGCACAGTGAAAACCTGACTGTAAAGATAAAAAGTCCTATCTCTGCATTTTCTTGCTGTGAAAAGCAGGGGTTCTTCTCCTGCTTTTGTTTCTCCCCAAATAATCTTATTCAAGTTTCTCTTCACTTGAGCCAGAGAGATGGCTCAGCAGGTTAAAGAGGATGAAGTCTGAGCCACAGAATCAACATGGTGGGATGTATGTTTCCCCTTTTAACAGTTAAGGAACCTTGAAAGATGTTCTCTAGGACTGTATTCACAAAGATTTCTTTCATAAATTTTTCTCTAGTCAACAAGCCTATGTAGGTATACTTAAAATAGACTCAACCATTTTATATTTTGATGTGATGCTTCTGGTTAAACATACCTTGGAATAGTGAAAAACAAATTTTCCTTGAAGTTAAGCATTCCACGTTATTTCAGAGGGCTACTTAATAAAAGGAGATGGTGAATATGAGTAATACAATCATATATACGTATGAAAATGTTATAATGAAACCCATTGTTTTATATGTTATCTACAAATTAATTTACAATAATATTAAATACATTAAAGAACCCAGTAGTATAGTTTGCCTCCATGCTATGCAGAGTTCATAGCACTCAACTAAATACAAAATCTGAACCTAGCCGGGTGGTGGTGGCGCACGCCTTTAATCCCAGCACTCGGGAGGCAGAGCCAGGCGGATCTCTGTGAGTTCGAGGCCAGCCTGGACTACCAAGTGAGTTCCAGGAAAGGCGCAAAGCTACACAGAGAAACCCTGTCTCGAAAAACCAAAAAAAAAAAAAAAAAAAAAAAAAAATCTGAACCTAAACTACAGTTATTTTGACTCTTGATCTCTTTTCTCCTAAATGAATACACAATTTTTGCATTAAAAACTTTGCTCATCATCATACTCTGAACTGGGAGTTTCTTCTTCCTGTATATGGATGTCTCTTTCCTTGAACTGGGAGTTTCTTCTTCCTGTATATGGATGTCTCTTTCCTTGAGTCCCTTTTAACATAGTAGTACCTGTTCTGATTTGAATGTGAACTGCCCCCATAGACTCATGTGTTTGAACTCTTGGTCCCCAGTTGGTGGTGCTGTTTTGAAGGTTGTGGAACTTTTAGGTGATACAGCTTCACTGGAGGCAGAAGATCACTGAGAGCATCTGTCCTGCCCCACTTCCTGTCTGCTCTGTGCTTCCTGACTGCCATAGACTGATCGCCTCACACTCCTTCCGCCATGCCTTCCCTGCCATAATTAAATGTATCCCTTCTTAAACTGTGAGCCAAAATAGACCCTTCCTTCCTTCAGTTGCTTCTTGTCAGAATTTATCACAGCCATGAGAAAAGTAACTAATAAAGTACCTTGGCCCATGGAATCTTATCGAACTACAGTCACAGCCTGGTTTGTGTCATAACAACTTGATGAAGCAAGTCTCATGTTTCTGTTTATTTTCTCTCTCTTTTTCCATCCCTGGATGATTTGGCCTGATCTGACTGCTGATTTGATACTGCAGTTGAGCAGATAGTAGCTGTGTACCATTCGGCTTCCAAACAGAAGGCATGGGACCACTTCACAAAAGCCCAGCGTAAAAACATCAGTGTTTGGTGCAAACAAGCCGAGGTTGGTAACTTTCTACTCGGGGAGCTCCTCATGGGGACATTTTCCTTCCTTAACAAGTTGTTGATTTGGAGTTTAACCAGAATTAAATAGTGCCAAGCTCTCATGGTCATAACAAGGCCCTAATGAAACACTGAAATGTGTTCTATACCCTGTCAACATCCAGACCACCTGCTGTCAAAAGGGTAATAAATGTGTATGTATTGTCTTAAATGCATCCTGCTGGATAGAAATCTTAGTAGTGAAAATGCAGCTGGGATGATTATAAGTTTACTTCTCCACACTAACTAGTCTTGAGTACAATAATAGTTACTGACCTATGTTTCTAGCGTTAGTAATATTAGTGCTGTCTTCCATTTATTAGAGTGCATTGACAGTTGAGGCTAGAAGCTGTCTGCTGGTACTTTGGAGCAAAAACATTTCTGAGCTTCTTTTATCAAATCTTTCCAGCTGTATGCATAGGTGGAAGATTTAAATGGAAGAGAGGACTGTGATTTCAGATCAAGGTCGACACATATCCTCTGCTTGTGCTCAAGTAAATCTTTAACATAACACTACAATATGTGTAATATGATTAGGTTATTAGCCTGAATCTGAAGTTGAAGTTCATGGGAGGTTTTTTTTTCACTGAGCTACCTGTGGAAATGTCTTCATAGGTATCTCAGGTTCTTTTGTGCCTATAGGAAGCCTCTTTCCCTATGCCTGATTTTGTGTGTGTGTGTGTATATATGTATATATAGCAACTTTTTCAACTTCATCTATCATTTGTTTAGCCATTGTGGTAAAAAATTTATTGTATCCATAGTATTAGTTTTCATGTTCTTGTTTCTCTTTTTCCATGCTGGCAATTGAACTCAGGGACTTGTATATTCCTTTCCATGGAGCTACAGCCTCAGTACCCAACACTTACTTTCATAAAGCACTTTGCACTGCTTATCTCACCTAAGTGTAAGCCTTACAGTCGATGTAGTGTAATGCAGACTACTTATGGAGTGAGAGTCTAACAGGAATTCAAGTATCAGCTTTTGTTACATTTGTAGCTTAGTGGATTGAGCAAGTTATTCAGCATCTCTTGATCCCTATTTCTTTACCTGTTAATTGGTGATGATAATAATGAAACCAATTTTATAAGATTAAATGTTTATGAAATGTATAAGCAGTTTGAAAATGTAAATGGTGTTATTTCAATTTATTAGTAACTCAATACAGGATAATGAGTAGGTGTAGAATCCATGTTTTGCATGTAATAAAACTGAAATGCAGAAATGTTAAATGATTTCACAAAATTACACAAGTAGGAAACAGAGTAGAAATTATTCTCCCCTGATCTCTGCTACAGAATTTCATGTAGTTTTGAACAGGTCATCTAATCTGTGAGACTTAGTTTCCTAGCCTTTGAAATGAAGGCAATATTCTGTCCAAACTGTCCTCTGTGAATAGGTAAGCAATTTGTATGGGAACAGCTTAAAACCTTAACAAACATTTAAGGAAAAATAAGCCAAACCTTGGTCCTAAACTTGTAGTCTGTAACACATCAGTTATAGCTCAGGAGAGAGAACTGGGAATCAACCACTGAGAAATCTCTTGAAGACATCTGTCCAGTGAGTGTATAGAATCATAAAAAGCTAATAGCATCTTCATTAATTTTTGATCACTAACATCATGTTGGCACTCGAACATTTTCAATCTTGGAAACATTTTAGATTTTGAATTTGGTGGATTAGTAATTCTTAACCTGCATTAAATACCTCCCTTCCCTTTAATACACATAATCCTGCATACCTTTTAGATGTTCTGAGATCTAAGCTGCCCAGAAATTTTAAGGAAATCCCTACCAGTGCAGAGAAGGAAGGAACTGACTTCTCGAGGTAACAACTATCAGGCAATAACATATTCCCCAAAAGCACATGTGGTACTACACACTTGTAATCAATCACAGCAGGCTGAGGCAGGAGGATCATGCATTCAGTGCCATCCTAAACTATATAGTGAACCCTTATCTCAAAAGATTTCCCCATCAAGGCTCTGTATATACCAGGCCTGACTACCTAGGGAGTATATACTTTGTACTTCAGTTAAATTAGGGTCATAGTAAAGATAGCTGTTGTGGTGAACTGGACATTTCTCCAGAGCTCTAGGAAATTGAGAATCATATGCCCCATTACACAGTATTTTTGTAAAGCCTCCTTGGCAGGGGCCAGTGATAAGATACATGGGCATCATAATTTGCCAAGAGCTATATGTTCCATCTGTGCCTTATTGACCAAACCTGCTTCCTGTGTATTTGATTGGGTTAAATCAAGACCCACCGTCCTCAGTCTTGGTAACTAAAACTACTGCTGATAGTAAGACATAGCTAGCTCGGGACTTTCCTCTGGTTTTGTATTCAAAAAGGAGATGTATCTTGAGTGAGGCCTTCCTTTGAGCTTGCCAGCCCTAAACCCCAAAGAGTTCTTCCATTTTATATTGCTGTCTCTTGAATTGTGGTTTGGTTTTCCTATTATTTTTCTTTTTGCTTTCAACTCTGTAAATTCTCTACTGGTAGCAGACCACTAAGAAGACTTAAAAGATGTGCCCTATGGGAAGTGAAAAAAGCTATCCTCTTAAGATGTGGCTGCCTTTTAGCACCCCACTAGAAATCAGAACAACTCAAAAGTCAGGTGTTTCATCAAGTTAGAAGTTCTCACAACTTCCTCCCAGTTGCCTCAGGGAACAAATCAGCTGGTGGAAGCCTCATGTCAGAAGGTACCCATTCCTTGTCTCACTGTCATGCATCTACCAGTATTCTTACTCTGCTGAGTGAGTGATAGAGAGAGCATCAACTTAGAAAAATCCATCTTTGAGAAACTTAGATACGATGAAAGTACGTGCCACCCTGACTAGTTTGGCAATGAGTCTTTTGAATTGCTTTACTTTCCTGGTTTGGCTCCTGGAAATGAAGCAGAAAAGAGATGCTAGGAGAGGGCCAAAGCCCTTCCTCTTACTGCAAGTTGATGCCTACAGTCACGGTTGTATTTGCTATGGGGACTCTTTTCTACAGAATCATTTGAAAATCTGTGTTTCGCCCAAACTCACCTACAGTAGGTGCTACACCTTGGAAAATGTATAAAAACTAGAATCATAGCCATAAGCATTAAGCTGACAGCCTCTTGCATCCTTCCTCATAGAATATTTTACACCACAGAGCTAAAAGAAAAGGGCTTTTGTAGCTAGAGTTTTCCTGCCTGGCCCACAGTCAGGACAAATCTCTCTCACTTGCCAGTCCCACAGCCGCTCAAACCCAACCAAGTAAACACAGAGACTTATATTGGTTACAAACTGTATGGCCGTGGCAGGCTTCTTGCTAACTGTTCTTACAGCTTAAATTAATCCATTTCCATAAATCTATACCTTGCCACATGGCTCGTGGCTTACCGGCATCTTCACATGCTGTTTGTCATCGTGGCGGCTGGCAGAGTCTCTCTGACTCAGCCTTCCACTTCCCAGCTTTATTCTCCTCCTTGTCCCGCCTACACTTCCTGCCTAGCCAATGGCCAATCAGTGTTTTATTTATTGACCAATCAGCAATACATTTGCCATACAGAACATCCCACAGCAGGCTTTGATGATTATAATTGGCAAAATAACCTTTTCCATTTACGTCCATTTCATACTCTGAAGAACTGTTTGTAGATGGATAATGAAGTCATCTGTGCCCCTTGTTTTAGTACTAACTTGCATTAAGACTGGCTGTTGGCCTTGAGCCATCCAAAAGCATACTAACCCAATTTTATATCAACCTAATTTGTATTTCCATTATTTACCATGCAAGAGACAAACCAGTGTTTGTGAGTTGCTTCATTTTATTAAATGATATCTCAGAATCAAATTGTTTTGTGAGTGTACAAGCTACTTATTTCTCTAGCCTCTGTTCCTTTCCATTCCCTCCTGACTCCTTTTCTACCATGGTTCTTGTTAATACTGAAAAAAATGTAGGTGAGTAGAATCTTGTTACACATTTAATAAGGAGTGTTGGTATTCTGGTAATAATGTTCCTATCGTAAAACATGAGTAAGATCAATTAAAGTCCACATAAATTTTTGTGAAACAAGGGTTAAATAATTAATGTATAATGATTTATGATTTGCTTGCTTTGTAATAAATCAAAGATGTCAACTGGTACAAAGTGGTTCTTTGCATGCATTTCCTTCTGTCTCTGCTTTGTTTCCTTCTATATGAAAGTGCATCTTGTTCTCTATTATGGAGCAGTGTCAATTTCTAAGTCTCAGAAAAGGTTGCCACCATTAGAGCAAACTCAAAGTCATTACAATGCCATTTTAGAAATCACTACCTGTTCATTGTTGAAATGAGATGTACCATGTATTTAGAGTGGGCAAAAGGGTGGCATAGGAACTTTAGGGCCACTTATTTTTAAAAAGTATTCTGTCAGTGACGAGTCTCATAAGATTTCCTGTAGGGATTAACGCATGCTAATTACTGAAAATGTTGTTGCATGCCATTCCCACATTTTGGTTGCAGTACTGTATCAAGATGTCAGAATGAGAAATGGAGCAAATCTGAGGTACAGCTATTACTTTTGATGTCTGTACTTCAGTAGCTAGGAATCCACCCCCTACCTGATCCTATTTCTAAGCTATTAGAATGCCTTTTTGGGTGCATGCCACCTTCTAGTCCTTTACTCTGAAAGTTTTTGTAAGGATTTCTTTCTCAAAGCTTTTCTGACCCACCAGAAAATAGATGCAGAGTACTTCAGCAGTAGGGGTTTCCAAGAATTAGCAAAGTCTCATTTTTCTTAGAAGTACTCTGTTATTTACCAAATGGGCCTTCTAAATTTCCTTTAATATGGTACCCCATAGCCTCTGCTGTTCTCTCTGCTTCTATTCCACTTATGTGACTTAGTATTGGATATTTGTAGAAAAATAATGATATGAGCTTTGGGGAGTGGGGGGTGTAGCTAAGGATTGTATAGTGTACAGAGCAGTCCACTGAGTAACTTAGAAAAAACTTTCCTTGAGTTTTTCTTATTTTCATTTTATTATTAGCTAAAATAACTGGTGATTCTTGTCCCTGATATATTTTAAAGCATTTCGGTAAAATTTGTCCCTAAGTATGTTATATTTCTAGGGGCATTTGAAACTGTAAAAGATCTCTAGGTAAGACATATACATGTAGTTATTGAAGTATTTGTATTTCTAAGATCTTAAGCTGTCTTGCCAAACTGGAAGTGAAAGGATGCTTTGTGGATGCTGGGAAGCTACAGGACCTGTCTTGGTTTTAAGATCTTGCTGCCCTGGGATATTTCCCTAGAATGAACACAATTTACTCTCCCAAGAAACATAATAACTTTATCAGCGTTAGTGACATGTCTGTGAGTTGAAAGTTGGTATCTGATTATATCCTGTGACAGCCTACATTTTTATTAGAAATCTAAAAAGCCACAGCTTTTCAGGATGTAGTAAACTGTACAATATTTGAATTTGCCAGTGTCAAACTTTGTTATAATCACCTTCCAGTAACAGCTCTGATGATAACTGAAACTAAATCTTATGAGGTCGAGTGCATTCAGAGGAATGAGAAATCCCCTTATTGTTCTTCATGCCATGAGTCTGAATAAGACATAGCACATCTTTTTCATGACACAGCCCTTTAAAGTTCATTTATCACAAGCAAGTCATTATTTTCTTCTATTTAAGTAAAGTCCCTGCAGTACATGGGAGGTACTATATTAGCATCTGATTTTTCTGCTACTTCTTAACAATCCATGATGATACTAAATAACTCACTTTTTAAAGAGTCCTTCATATAGTGTTAATGAAAACTGGAACTAGAAATCATTTTTCCTGATAAAGGAATTAAAAAGGAGGATATTAAGATAGTGACTAACTATATCATTATAAATAAATCCATTTGAAGGCCAGGCATGGTAGCATATGCCTTTCGTCCCAGCACTCAGGAGGCAGAGGCAGGTGGATCTCTGAGTTCAAGGCCAACCTGGCCTACAGAGCGAGTTCCAGGACAACCAGGACTACTTAGTGAGACCTTGACTCAAAAAAAAAAGAAAGAAATCCATTTGAAATATACTTAATGCTTGTAAATGGGATAATTTGCACCAGGCAGCTTTAGATGATTCCTATATTATAACCCAGTAGGAGTTAACCTAGGTAGGGATTCTCAGCTTAAAACCTAGGAAATTAATAACAATCACGTGATGTCTAAATGATTTCAAGTTGCTCTAAAATGTGTAGTTCTCATTCTTGTTTTGGTATAATGTACATGTCTGTATATATGTATGTATATGTTCCTTGTGTATGTCCATGTGTAGGTGAGGGTGTGTTCGATCACAAGCATATATTTGAAGACCAGATGACCACATTGAATGTCTTTTTGACTTGTTACTCCCCATCTACACGGTGGATTTCAATCCATTTCTTATGACTCAGCTTTGTATGTTATAGAAGTGTAGTGTTCATCAAGAGCTACTTAGACTTGGGTTAGAATGCGCATGTGGGTGTATATGTAAGAAGCTTTCTTGTTCATATCACATCTTAGGTATACCAGCTGTTCTTGTGTGTGATGTTTTCTTATTTTCTGGAGTGATTTTTATCACCTAATCAATCCCTCATTATTCTACTCCTTTCTATGGTAAAAAAAAATTCTTCACATTAAGTATTTCTTCATTAAATTTTTGTTATGCTGATTGAATCCTATCACCAAATGTTAAAAAATCATTTCATTAAAATTTTTACTGTACATTGATATGTGGAAGGAAATGGCAATAACATCATAAAGGTCTACAATAAGAACTTGTGTTTAATGTTGAAAATAAAGGAACTTTTTGTTTCTTAGTTCATTATTTCCAGACAAAAAACTCGTCTTCTTTTTATTTTAAGCTAAATGAATCTGTGGGTTATTTTTAAAGTATCTGACCTTCTGATGAGATTCCCTACCTTTTTTTCAATATGAGCATAATTCCTTTATACCAAGAGGATCATTCCAAGGTTGGTCTCCATTTATTGTTCTTTTTTTGGAAAATGTAATCTCAACCTAGTTCCTGATATGTCCAGTGATTTTGGTGGTTATCCTAGATATGAATATTATAGTGTAAAATTATGGACTCTTGCCTGGCAGCAGTGGCACACACCTTTAATCCCAGCACTCGGGAGGCAGAGCCAGGCGGATCTCTGTGAGTTCGAGACCAGCCTGGTCTACAGAGTGAGATCCAGGATAGGCACCAAAACTGCACAGAGAAACCCTGTCTCAAAAAAACCAAAAAATAAAAAAAAATTATGGACTGTCAGATGTTCTTACAAAATGTTCACTTTTTCTTCTTTTGCTTAAATGATCAATTTAATTTTTTTAATTCAAGCTAGAGGTTTCTATCTATTGGATAGCAGTTCCAATAACAGTTTAGCTCCTTTAGCCTTAGCTAGGCTGCTTGGACTCTCTGTGCTTCCTTGGTTGAGAAAGCATGAAAAACTTTCAAAGGATTCTATATATACACTGTAAAGAATCTGTGTGTGTATGTATGTATATATGTCTTCCTCTCTCCCTTCTCCTTCCATTCCTCCTTTCTGTCCTACACACACACACACACACACACACACACACACACACACACACACACACACACACATTTCTTCTTTCTAAGATTCTCTTCTTACTTTCCAGTGTCTGCTCTTCCACTAACCACTCTCTTGCAATTACTTAGGCCACCAGGGCTGGGTTTTCTACTAGAAAATTAGCTGCCCTGTGACTAAATTCTGATCTGCTCTCAAACTAAGAGACTTTTTAAAAGCAGGGAGACTTGTCTATAGGTTTTTTTTTATTCTTCCAAATGCCAATTCCTCTTCATAATATGCCTGCATTTGTTCACTGTCCAATAACATCAAATAGTTACCTATTTTGTTTTATCCAAACATTATAGTTACTGACCATGAGAGAGTTAGTCTGGTAGAAGGTTACTCTTAACAGCCATTTTTGCTTCTGTTTTCTAAAACTACAAAATCTTGGTTTAGAGTTCTGTTCAGGAAAGCTATTGGAGTGGAAATAACAAGCAGCAAAATTAAAGGAACCAACATGGGAAAGTATAATGACAAAACTCTAAAGGGAAATTCCAGAACTCCACATAAGTAAGAGCCAAGTGTGCCTTTTAATGAGACTGTTTAGTTTCAGTGTGCCATTGCCTTTTTGTTTAAGAGCACCCTGAGGGTTTTTAATATGTCCTCATACCTCTGTCCATTTCCTCAACATTTTTAAAAGTTTCCCCCTAAAAAGCATGCCTTTTGTCCTTAGGAAATCCGCAACATTCATAATGATGAATTAATGGGAATCAGAAGAGAAGAAGAAATGGAAATGTCTGACGATGAAATAGAAGAAACAACAGAAACAAAAGAAACGGAGGAATCAGGTAATGATAATTCTGGTTTGTTTTATGTAATAAACATTTACTTGCAGTAGCAATGTTTTCAAACTTTTAAAATAAGGTAAGATGGTGTATACATCAGCCTATCAGACTGCACACCAGATAGAAAAAAATTGATGGGGCTATGTGAGTAAACACTTGCTAATATCAAACCTGTGTCTATAGGGTTTTCTGTGTTCTTCACATATCCTCTTTTCAATTGAAGTGCCTAATTTAAAATGTGCGCTTTTGTCAAAAATTAGAAACCCCACTGGACATTGAGGCATCATTGTTCCATATTTGATTTGGATTTATTAATCTCTCTCTTCAACTGTGAGGAAACATGTGCGTAAATGCTAGATTATATATACATTCTACCCAAATAAGTAACAGATAGATATATTATTTAAATGTTAACAAACTATATATAGTAAAGGACATACAGAGGAATACAAAGTTGATGATATAATTTAGGAAAAACTGTCAAGAATTTTTAGGGGCTGGGAAATGGCTCAGTCAGTTAAGTGCTTACTGTGTAAGCATAAAGCCCTCAGTTCAGATCTGGGGGCAGGAGGGGGGAGAACAAGGGAATCCGTGGCTGATATGTAGAACTGAATTGTATTGCAAAATTAAAATAAAAAAAATAAAAGAAAAAAGAAAAAAATTAAAAGATAGTACAGTGGCACACACCTGTGATCCCAGTTCTGAGGAGGTAGAGGCTGGAAGATCTCTGGAACCTGCTGGCCAATCAGTGAGCTCCATGTTTAGCAAGAAACTCTGTTTCCGAACACAAGGTAGAGTGTGATGGAGGAGGAAACCCAGCATTCATGTCTACTTCCATGTGTCCATGCACATTACATACACGTGCACGCATGGTAACAATTTTAGATAAGATTTTGGATTTTAGTGCAGAAAAATTAAATATTTCCGTAAAGTAGCAAAATTAAAATCTACAAAGTAATAAATATCTGAAATAAATAACTATTGAAGGTACTTAGCAAATATATTGGGTACCAACTCAGAGTTCACAAATGGTTGTCTGGGTGGAGGCTTTTATTCTAGTCTAGTATAATCTGGAACTCAGAGTAAAACAGCAACTGTGGTATTGATACCCAGTAGGCCTATAGGGTAAGCTTCATGAACAATAAGACAACACTTTCCCCATTAGTTTAATCATAAATTACTGTGGATGGAAGAGCACCACAAGACTGAATACCTGCCACCAGAACAGTGTTTCAGGTAAACCATTGCAAACAATCTTAGGACTTTAATTATAGGAAAGTGCAGTATAAAAAAGCATTAGGCTGGGGAGATGGCTCAGTATGTAAAAACATTTGCTTTGGCAAACATGAAGACCTAAGTTCAAATCCCCAACAGCTACATACGTGGCCATGGATGTCTTTAACTCCAGCACTGTAGGGGGTTGGGGGCACACAAGATCACTGGAAAATGATAGAACAAAACACCCAACCTCCTTCTCTGGTGTCTATGTACACATGTGGTTGTGCACATCTGCACATATGTCATATACCACATACATATTTTTAAAATCATAAAACTACTGGGCCTAAATTTGAAATATCTGAATTCTAGTCTCAGATCTGGGAGATTCTTTTCCCTCACTGACAGTTATCTTCCATAGCATAACAGCTAACTTGGATTTTGTTCTAGTCAGATTCATCCAGTCATTTCATAGCTGTTACATGCCAAGCAAGTTGTAAACATTGGAAATATATTAAGTAATCAAATGTCTTGGTCATGTGGTAGGGGGACATACTGATTGACCAACTCTCCAACTTGCATTTCCCAGTTCCCATATTGAAGTCAGAGGTTCTAGTCTCATATAAGGGGTCTTAGAATCTTTACTCCATAAATGGAAATTCTTACAGAAAAAAAAAAAACATCAAGTCAGACTTTTTAAAGGTATCCATTAGCTATTGCAATGGAATTTTCTCCATTTTTGTGATACATTTGATCCATAAACATACCAACTATTGTCTGTACTAGATACTTTATAAGCAGTGGTTAGCATTTTCAGAATATTGAATTGCTGCAAATGAATACTACAAATCTATAGCCAAAATAAAGAAAAAACTATAATAATGATGGAGCTATTCAATTTATTTAAGTGCTTCACTAAGATATATTAGAGCAGATTAATTATGACTTGTAGTATTGCCTCCACCTCAGTATCTCCAGCATCATATACACTGCTTGTACATTGTTAGAGTAGAATAAATACAACCTAATTTTGAGCATCCACATGATGGATTGTAGAGTTTGAGGAGTGACTGGGGGAGGTGAGGGATGTGTGGGAAATTCATACTGAATGCACTTACTAGGGATATATAATTGCATTTTGCTTCTGTATCTCTTCTGAGTTAAAAGCTGTATTGGCTACTGCACAGAATCTTATTCGTTCAGAGACTGGAAACTCCCTGACAGATCATCTTATAGCTATTTTCTTTCCTGTTCCACATGCCAGGATGCTGCTTTGTCAAATAAAGCTATCTACAATAGACTTAATGGAGCTTACCAAATAGCTTTTCTCCCAGAAGGTTTCAATTCATTTTAATTCAAGGACTTTTGTGCATTTTTCTTCCCCTCGATCGTATCTAATTCTGTTATCTTGCTTCCATAGTACTCAACTGCAGAAATCCTGCTCGACGTGAGCCAGCAAGAGTCTCCTTAGTTTTTATCTAAATCAGCTATATGTTTTAGCTATCACTTGTTTCCAATTAAAAGCTTAAGCAAGTAGATCTCCACGTTGCTGTTTTCCCTCACTGTGCTCCCCCAACTTGAATTCCAGGGGCCTATAGTGCTTCCCTGGTTATCTTTTACTTCTCAAACAAAATAAAAGTCATTACATTACCTGGGAGTGCCACAGAATTTCTGTACTTCCAGAGACCCTGCTTTAACCAATATCTGTGGTACAGTACTTGCAATGGAAGAACGCCATCTATTCAACAGAGGGAAATCCCATCAGATCAAAGTGGATATTGTGAAATTGTTTTATTCTGTTGTTAATCATGTACCTTGTAAACAGAAGAGCTAAGAGGGTATTCTCTACATACCCCTTTTGCCTTCTTCAGTTGGATTAGTGGTTACCAGGATTGGTCCACCTAAAAATCATCCTAGAGGGTATAAGCTGTCGGTCATGAGATGACATGTTCTAGAGATCCAGTGTGTACTACTGTCACTACAATAATTAATGTATTTTATATGTGAAATTTGCTGTGAGAGTAGACATTCAAAAAAGGTTAGCAACCCCCATATAACTTTGTTCACTGGTGAATATACTAATTAGATTATACAAATCATTGTACAAAGCGTATTTCTCTGGAAAAAATTGTAAACCTTGAGTATATATAATTCTTTATTAGTTATACCCCAATTAAGCTGAATAAAATGAAAATTTTAAAAATATTTATGAGAACAGAGAGTCTGACCCAGTAGGTCTTTAATGGTATTTCAGATACTTCAATTATTTAGATTCTGGTGGTCCAGGGACCATTTGAAAAACAATGAAATAGACAAATTTTCCTTGATTGTTCTAGCCAAAATATTCTCTTCCCTGTTTCCTCCTCCCCATCATGTAGTTTCTATTATTCTCACTTTAAGAATTTGACCAATTAATTATTATGATGGCCTGAAAGCTTAGAGAAATATTAATATAAATATAAATAAATTTGCATAAATTAAAAAAGCTACTTGTTGCTAACCTAGAGTACTGATTAGAATCCAGCCAGGGCAAGAGATATCAGTGTGATCCCAAGTAGCCACAGCCAGTAACAATTGCTCAGGGCCTTGAAAGGGGAACAGGTTTAGATAGAAAGAACAAAAGTAAGAGCATCCTGATGGTATGGGTGAGTAGAAGGAGTAGGGATTCAGTGATGGAAAGAGGCATGCGTGATATGTGTTGGGGGAGAAAAGACTAGTCAGGCACAATAAGTCTAAGGTCCAGAGGAGAATACATACCAGGCTCGTATTTAACATAGTAAGCAACATGACACCAGAAGCACATCAGGCCATAGCACTACTATGATGAAAATATCATGAAATCTACATTTTAGGAGATCATTTTAGAAAAAAAAGAGACCAGCTAGATTCTGTTGTATGAATAGAGTTGTGAAATGATGAAGACTTTGGCTTGAGTGATGGCACTAGGATTGAGAAAAATGGCAGAAGGAAAAAAAAACAATGGAAATGTAAGATTAAAGATGCTAGAGTCATTCGTAAAGGAATAGACTCAAAAGCCTTTAGTGTAAGGCTGGTGTATAGATGAAGAAAAGTAAAGATCATTGAATGAGCCTCTTCTCTAGTCTGAGAGACTGGGGAGCAGGTGAGTGTCTTAGTTCACTAGAGCCAGAATAGCAAAGTGCCATACAATGGGAGACTTAAACAGTCATTTCTATTTATTTTATTTTGTGTGTATGTGTGTTTTGCTGGCATATATATTATATCTGTGCCCAACATGTGTGCAGTGCCCATGGAGGCCAGAAGAGGGTGTTGGATTCCCGGGAACTGGAGCTGCAAATGGTTATAAGTTGTCAAATGAGTACTAGGAATTGAACCCAGTTTCTCTGCAAGATCAGCCAGTGCTCTTAACTGCTGAGCCATCGCTCCTGCCCTGTAGCAGCAGTTCTCACCCTGTGGGTCACAACCCCTTTGGAGGTCGAATGACCCTTTCACAAGGGTTACATATCAGATATCCTGTATCATATATTTACATTACAATTTGTAACAGTAGCAAAATTAGTTATGAAGTAGCAACAAAATAATTTTATAGTTGGGGGTCACCACAACATGAGGTCGCAGCATTTGAAATGTTGAGAACCAATGCCCTATAGAGTTGTGTTTTAAAACATATGTATTGTCTTTATTTTCTTAAAACTAGGAACACAAGGTGGAGGTATCAGCAGAGTTGGTTCCTTCTAAAGGCTGTGAGACAAAATCTGTTTATGCTTCCTCCCAGTTTCTGGCTGTTTGGCAGCAATCATTGGCAT